GTTGACTCTGAATTACAAGCACTAGGAATACAATCCAGGTTTTGGAACAGCTTCAAATATATGGAAGTATCTTCAACTCTCGTCCGAAGCATTAGGTCTTGTTTATTCTAGTCCCTGTTGCTGTGAACCACTGTTAGCAAGGAATATTAATATCCCATGCTAACAATAGAGATCAGCAACAGGTGCAGCTAAAAAGAGATCTGAATTTGGTTTAACTGCAATTACAGGTTCAGCACTGTTTTAGAAACCATATCAGCTTGCAATCAAATCATGTAGGCTACATCTAGACTGGCATGATTTTCCGCAAATGCTTTTAATGGGAAATTTTTCCATTAAAAGCATTTGCAGAAAAGAGCATCTAGATTGGCATGGACGCTTTTGCGCAAAAGCACTTTTTGTGGAAAAGTGTCCGTGCCAATCTAGACGCGGTTTTGCGCAAGAAAGCCCCAATTGCCATTTTCGCCATCGGGGCTTTTTTGCACAAAACAGTCCTGAGCTGTCTACACTGGCCCTCTTGTGCAAAAACATTTCCGGAAAAGGGCTTTTGCCCGAACGGGAACGTCAAAGCATTTTCGCAAGAAGCACTGATTTCAGACTGTAGAACGTCAGTGCTTTGTGCAAATTCAAGCGGCCAGTGTAGACAGCTGGCAAGATTTTCCGCAAAAGCAAGTGCTTTTGCGGAAAAACTTGCCAGTCTAGAAGCAGCCGTACAGTATTAGTTCAACACCACTCACTGCTCTGTCATTGCAACAGATTCTTTTCCTAGCTTAGACAAGCGTTTAGAAACCTTTGAAACTGAGTGCCTTCCTTCCTGGTTCATCTCAGTGTTTCCTCTGCTGTGGCAATGTAGCAAGAGAAAAACGGAACGAGAGTTCTCTATGCTACTGAAGGGAATGGGCAGAGAAGAGCCTTTTCTGCAGATTTTTGTTAATGACATAGGAGCTGCACACAGAGGCTTTGTCTACACTGCAGGGTTTTCATGCAAGAAGCTGTGGAAGAAAACAAGTCCTCACTTTGAGTTTGTTGAAGCCTTTCCAGAAGAGTTCTTGCACAAAGACTTCTTGCGCCAAAGCGCATCCAGACCTCAAAGCGCATCGCAAAAGCCATGTGCTTTTGCGCAAGAGAGCGTCCACACTGCATGGATGCTCTTGCACAAGAAACCTCTGATGGCCATTCACAGAATGGCCATCAGAGCTCCTGTGCTTTTTTCCATAAGGGTTTCTTGCATAAAACCCCCTACAGAGCATTCACACCTGCCTTTTTGTGCAAGAGCTGTAGTGCAAAAAAGAGTTATTCCTCTTGGGGAGAGGAATAACTCTACTGGAAAAAGCCCTCTGTTCCGCCGATTTACTTGTGCAAGAACATGATTAAGGTGTGGATGCTCCGCTGGTTTTTGCACAAAAACCTTGTAGTGTAGACATAACAGAGACAAAACAGACATACGGTACAGGACAATGAGCAAATAAGCAAACCAAAGCCTGGCACACTCGACAGCGTCCATGCAGCTGCTTTTGCAGAAAAACTTGCCAGCTGTCTACACTGGCCGCTTGAATTTGCACAAAAGCACTGACGTTCTACAGTCCGAAATCAGTGCTTCTTGCACAAATGCTTTGACCTTCCCGTTCGGGCAAAAGCCCTTTTCTGGAAATGTTTTTGCGCAAAAGGGCCAGTGTAGACAGCTCAGGACTGTTTTGCGGAAAAAAGCCCCGATGGCGAAAATGGCGATTGGGGCTTTCTTGCGCAAAACCGCGTCTAGATTGGCACGGACGCTTTTCCGCAAAAAGTGCTTTCTGTTTCTGTTAAAAGCATTTGCGGAAAATCATGCCAGTCTAGACGTAGCCATAGTTATTCTCTCTCAAAAAATGATCCCGTTTTCATTCTCCTAAAAGATGAAAAACTCATCCAGGCCAGTTCATTTAACGTGGCACTGATTGCAGCAGGACTATCTTTAAGGTCCTTTTCATTAGCACTCCCTGGAATTAAGACCAAAGGTAGAAAAGACTACCGACTACAGAAGCAGCACTTGCATAATTTTTTCCCCTGCAAAGCTGAACTTCTTTCACTTACCAGTTACTCAACTCAGCATAGAGGTTCTATTAATCTGTTGTATTGGGGTTTTTTAACCACATGCTGATCTTAAGGCTGTTCAGTGTCAGATTAATGTCACTGGCTCTAGCTGTGATGGGATTGTCACCCAAATACCTTTGTCCTTAGGCTAAGAGAAAAATAAAATCCCCATGTAGTGAAATCCAGTGACTTTTTAACAAGAGATCTTCATAATGTTGTCAACCAATGGCAGGTTGGCTTTTCACTTGATACTCTTGAATCTATTTTTTCCCAATTCTATAAACCTATTCTGTAGACTAGACAAGAGTGATCTTTGCTCTTTCATTGTGGGCAGTCTCGGGGCCTAGAGAACAAAAGATCCATTTAAAGTTAGGACTACAATATGTTTGGTTTAAAAGTGACCTATGCAAGGAAAACATGGTTTTGATGTATAGTGGTCCTACCTTAAGTAGAAAGACAGGGAATTTCACCTCTTTTTTTAAAAGGAAGGTTTTTTCTGCTGCTCTTTTAGGTTGGAAATATCAGACCTGTTTTTGGCGGGGAGGCTAGAAATCTGAAGTTGGGGCTACCTTCCAGTAGACTGAAACCCGAGCTGCAGGTCCCGCACCCCTCAGTTCAGGAGGCAGGGGATATTGTGTCACAGACTGTCTCAACTGAGGCTGAGAAAGGCGCATCTTAGCACGAGAGGCTCAGAGTTGTTACTAGCCCACTCCAGTCCTCCAGTAAACAAGGAAGTGAAGACTGCTGGACTAAGGAGCTAGGCCAGTTTTCACCTGCTGAGGGGATCTGGCCTACTGTATCTGGAGCTGTCCAACCAAGCCATTGTGAACAATTAAACAGGCCATGTCTTCAGGTACGGTGCTATGTTGTAGCTACGTATGAGGTTAGGTCAATCTAACTGCATCGCTGAGGGGTGTTGATTTTTCACACCCCTCAGCGACGTTTCCCCTTAGATCCGAAGCGTAAACCTGGTCTCAAATCTGATACTTTTTTCTGTTCACCAATCATCCAGCAACAGACAGCATTATGCTGACATTGTTAGTCATTGTGCAAGAGGTGGTCTTTATGGCCATTTTAGGGCCTGTGGAGGTTCCATTAACTAGTCAGCATAAGTATCCTTTTGAATATTTGGCAGTCGGAATTTGGAGTTTGAGCGGTGTGACTGGGCACCTCATGTTTCTGTTCCCTGACATGATGCTGTTGCTTGCTGCCCTTTCATTTCTCCCTGGCAATGATGATGAGGTTTGCAGCCCTCCTCCCTACCGGCAACCTTTTGACACCAGGCCAGAGGGAGCCTTCCTGACCATACACATGCCCCTGCGTCGTGTGCGGTGATGGTTCCAAAAGGGAGTTCCAACCTTCTCAAGAACTGTTCACAGCATAAGCGTGTTCTGAGGCTGGAACATGTTCAGAGTAGCTCGGGCAACGAATTTCTTTCTGATCTTCGTCTCACTATTGCTCATATCGATGTGGTAGTTGCTGTGGGCTCGTCTACCAGGGGAAATTTACTGGCATAACTGTACTGGTATAAGTCCCCATGTGGACACACTTAAGCTATGTCTACACTACGGGTTTGTCCGGAAGAGGCAATGCAAATGAAGTGCTGATTAGCATTTTCTCATGCTTCATTTGCATAATCTCTTCTGATCCGTTTTTGCAAGGGGGTTTTGCCCCAAAGTAAGCAGGGTGCCCCAGAGGGAGTGAACCGAACAGGTAATGATCAAGCGATCTCTCTCCTGCCTTCCATCTCCACCCCCTGACAAACAGAGGCTAGGGACACACTGGGACTCCCTTTTTGCAAGACCTGGAGCATCAGGATTCCCAAACAAAAGATGTTAGGTGATAGCAGAGGTAGCAAGAGGTTCAATGAGCAGCAGTCAAAGGCTATGTCTACACTGCAGGCTTCTTGCGCAAGAAGCTTTTTGCAGAAGAGATCTTCCGCAAAAACTTCTCATGCAAGACAGCGTGCACACCGCATGGGCGCTCTCTCGAAAGAAAGCGCTGATAGCTATCCACAGAATGGCCACCAGGGCACGTGTGCTTTTTCCTCTTTCCTGGTTTTGCGCAAAAAAAACCTGTTGCCCATCCACACACACCTTTTTGCAGAAGAACTCTTGCACAAAAAGCAGTTATTCCTCATAGAAGGAGGAATACCTACACTGGAAAAACCCCTCTGTTCTTTCATTTTACTTGTGCAAAAACACATTTGAGGTGTGGACGCTTCGCGAGTTTTTGTGCAACAACAGCAGGATTTGCGCAAACACTCTGTAGTGTAGTCCTAGCCTGAGAATGTATTTCCCCCAAACCTTCTAAGGTCTGGTTTGGTTGTCCTGACTTGTGGACCTACTGGGGTTTGCAAGAACAGAAAACACTGCGACCATTTACACAAAATTAAGGATATTCTTCTACAAAACTCCTTGTTCTGGTGAGGTTAAAGCTTCAGGCCCACAGCAGAGATTTGGTACTTGAAATGCAGAATTAAGTCTCCAAACAAGGTACCAAAACTACCTTAACTTTCCTAACCTTCCACCATCCTTTTTTGTTTGTTTGTTTTTGCATGTCATTTCACATTCATGCACCACCGGACACTGGTTTTCTAATCTATTTCCTCTGATGCTAAGCGAGCTACCTTGTCACTTACTGACGTTGGTTCTTCTCAGATAAGCACGTAACTGTATCGTCTCTCCCAGATGGAGTGTGTATCTGGGAGACACTCCAGTTGGGTGGAATATTGGCAGCTACGCCAAGTTAACGTCTCCTTAACAAAGTTCTTTGTCTTGATATCTATGACTCTCAAGCATGGAACTTGTGGGCAGACTTGCGGTAGAAAGCAACCCAAGGTAACTGGTTTGAGGTGCTTGTCAGAGGGGATAGTCCCTGGAGTGGAAATCAGGCAGAACGTGATACATTGAAGATATTTCCCAGATCCCTACCTCTTTGGAGCCACAGACACTCCTGGTACGGTGAGAGTGTGGGATTTAGTCCAGGAGATCGGGGACACGGGCGTGACTCGTTTCTGCACCCCTGCAGAGCTGGTTTTGGTGACATCGTCTTTGATGCTTACAGTGGGATATCCATTGGACGATGGCTCTTGGAGAGAAAAACACACACATAAGCAATCAGAAAAAGAAAAGGGGCACAATTCCTTGTGACCAGTGTTTCTGCTCAAAGTCCAAATCTATCAACCTGTTACCATAGAGGTCAATCTAAGCTGTCTTCAGGTCTTATGCATGTACTTATGTGTTTATACTGATATCACATGCAGAAAGGAACTGACAGTCACAAAATTCAAAGTTAAGGTCCATCTTGAAAGGGGGGGGGGGAACAGGCCAGATCCTCAGTGGATATAATACAGCAGATCTTCACTGGCCTACATCAGGTGAAGATCTGGTCCAGTAAGCCTGACACCATGAGTTGGACGAGAGAGGCGAAGTGCAGGATGGGAGAAGTAGGAGGGGGGCTCCCTTGAGGGCTCCAGGAAGTGGAAGAGTCCCAATGCTCACCAGCCATGCTAAGACCTTCTTTGGTGGTTGGGGATGACCAGTGGCCGTGTGTGTGTGTGTGTGTGTGTGTGCCCGCGCCACAGAGATGGCAACCCTACCCTCATTGTGATCTCTAAAATTACAGCCAGCAAGTCCTTGCAACTTTACAAAAGGTGAAAATTCACTAGTGTATAGAGGGCAATAGACCACTACCCTCAGTGATTGGCTTTCTGCCCAGGGATGACTGTCACCCAGAAAGCACAGGAGAGCGTCCATATACAAACAATCCCATTCCAACCTCTCCATTGTTTACTGGAAAAGATACTCAGCTAGAAGTGACAAAGCAAGAAAACACAAGAAACGTCACACAACAAACACGACAGAGCCTTAATGGGCCATGAAGGGGCAGGTTCTGCCACCCTTACTCATACAGAGTGGTGAACTGGAATGCCATTTTTGTACATGTGCCAAAAGTAATTCCATTCATTTCAGCGCAGCTGTTTGTGGCACATGCTAATGTTTGACACAAGAGTGGCAGAACCTCACACTTTCATTGTGAAACAGAGCCACAAAAGCCAGGTTAACACATACGGACGAAACTGCTTATCCTGGGGGACACCAAGACTTCCTCGTCCCATCCCTCTGTTTTCACTAAGCCTGGATGGGTGCATCTAGACCAGTGTTTCTTAAACTTTTTAAGACTGAGGAACACCAAACAATAATTTTTTTTATGAGGAACACCAAGGATTTTTTGCTGAGAAAAAAAGAAAGCCGGGAAAAAGTTATTGAGCCAAAAAAAAAAGGTCGCCTGCCCCTTTAAGGACAGCCATTTTGAACTCTGTTGTTCTCCGCGGCACAGCTCCAACCCCATACCGGTGTACCGCGGAACACAGTTTGAGAGACACTGGTCTAGACTACATTCCTTTTTCGAAAGAGAAATGCAAATGAGGGAAATCAAAAATGTAAATGAAGTGCTGATTTACAAATCTCGTGCTTCATTTGCATAATCTTGTCCGATCGCTATTTTGGAAGAGATTTTTTCGGAAAAAAAAAGCAGTCTACAAGGGGTTCTTTCGAAAAAAAATCATTTTTCGAAAGAACCCTTATTCCTGAAAAAAGGTGGTTTTTTTAAAGAACCCTGTCTAGATTGGTTTTTTTTTTAAATAATCTCTTCCAAAAAAGCAATCGCACGTGATTATGCAAATGAAGCATGAGATTTGTAAATCAGCGCTTCATTTGCATTTTCGATTTCCCTCATTTGCATTCCTCTTTCGAAAGAGGAATGTAGTCTAGACACACCCTGTGTGTGCATGTTAGTGACAGAAAGAGTTATGTGTATTGAAGATGGAATCCTTGAACAATGGATTTGTTTTTGCAATTTTTGATCCGTGAGGAGTGGTGGAATTTTTGTTGTTAGTTTTTGATGTTTGGGGTGTTTATTTTTTTTTACAACCCAGACATTTTTCACATTCTTTGTTATTTCCAATTGAGAATACAGTAATTGTGATACAGTGGTATCAACACAAAATAATACCACTATGTTGCAACATGGAACATATTTAAAATATAAACAGCACCAGAAAAGACACACACAGAGATAAACGCCCATGCCCAAAGCCATGCAAGCACACCAGAAAAGCCATCTTCTATCCTACCTACAGGATGAGAAGGGGACCGTTCCTCATTCAAAAAACTGGGATTCACCACACCAGACTTTTGGTTTCTGGAGGTGAGGATTGGGACGTGGGAAGCGCTGGAGGATCGGTAGCTAGGAACATTGGGTAGCTGCTCTACTATGCCTTGGGAGGAAGGGGAGGCGCTCCTGCGGTCAAGCGGCTGATCGTGCACCAGATGATCTAACTCAACGTCTTTAGTTTGCTTGGACATGCTGCTAGGAGGCTAGGCGCTTCAAGCAAAGGACTGGGCGTCTGAAGCTGCAACAAGAAACACAGAATCATGTGAGACTGTTTTGTGCTATTTCCAGATGAACTGTTTCCTTAACAAGAAATAGGGCTGGAGGGGATTGTGGTTTGTGTGATCACAAAGGCTAAAGCGAATAGCGCTGGTTAGAGCCAGGAATGGAGCTGGCAAGTGCCATTCCTTACACAACTTCACACACAACTTCCTGATGTTCAGCACCCAGTGTTATTTCAATTCTAAACAGAGAATGACAGTCATCACAAAATCACAATGGCAAATGATGCTCCCAGATGGACCAGCTTGAACCCAGAACCCCAGGCTTTCCAGGCTAATGCCCTAACCCCTAGACAACCCATCGCGCCCCACCTCACCTCTCAAGCACCCCTTATCCAGCCTTCCTAATGGGGCACCCTGGAGGTGACGCTCCCCGGTGGGTCTCAAACCCAGAACCATCAAACCCACATCTCCCCTCTGAGCCAAGCAATGTTCTCCGGAAGCGAAAGGGCAATGAGCCCTTTCCACTGCTTCACTTCTGCCTGACAGCTCAGAGCCGGTAGCTTTCAGTGTAAGGCCTTTCCGGAGCTAACGTCTCTCCTTCGTTAATTGCCCAGAATGTGAAACAAGCCGTCTCCAAAGCACAAGTTCCAGTGGGATACGAATAGTTTCAGTCTGAAGAGAAGACATTCGAGGCAAGACCTATCTGTATTCATGACAAGACTTATCTGTATCACAGATACGTAGGGACCCAACGATTAAAAGAAACACTCGAAAAATCTGTACATTCTAGGTGCCCCATTTTTGGAAGCCCACCTGGAGACACCTGGGTCTGCTGCCACCATTGGCTACCACAGCAGACGGGGGTACTCACCACTTTGGAAATCAGTGCCTAGATCAGGGCTGGGCAGGATGCGGCCCTGGGGCCAGATCCGGCCCGCCTAACACTTTGATCCGGCCCACGGGCTGCATCTGGCTGTTTTCTATTTATGTCCTGCTGCCAGTGCCACCTAATTAAAATTCTGCCCTAGCTGCTCCAGAGCGGACCCCAAAACCTGAAGCAACTGGAATTAATGGACACTTCTGAAAACTTTGGAAGACACGCGACGCTCCCTGTTCTTGTTGCATGGGCGGTAAATTGCAGGTGAGAGAGGTCTCCATCCCTACTCTCGGCCATGGCACGTGTTTTTTAGGGTAGAATAATATGAGTTGCAGCCTCATTTGTCTCTTGCTATGCTATCCTCCTCCACAATGATACCAAACCACAATGTTGATATCACTTTTCTGTTCTTTGGCCTTTTCATACAACGTACAATGGCCATCCACAGTCATCTGCCAACACACTGCTCTTCTCCCACCAGGCAAAAGAAATATGGGCCATGCTGAAGCCACATGGCTCTAGGCGCTAAGAATGATCCACATGGGATTTTATTTTAGAAAAACTAACTCACTACAAGCAGAGAGCTGCATCCTCTGCTATGCTGAGCTTCCCCGAGACCAGGGACATCACAGAACCGGTGGCAGACCTCGGCTGCCAGGTCATTGGAGTAAGAGGACACATGTTAGTCATGTGTGTTTCCTGTCCCAAATACAACTCCTGTGCCAGGGTCTCTGCAGGCATTTCCCAAAGGGGACTATGTGGAGAAGAGAATTTGGCCCATAATTCTGGTTAATGGCTACTGGTTTTGAATTCAGATGGTTACCGCTTTTATGTAGAAGGAAGGCCTAAGGAGAATTATTTTGAGACGATCCTTAGGGGAAATTTCACTGAGATGTGGATGCTATACACTTTTTAAAGCTCTTACTGCAAGGTTTCTGTGGATTTAAGCAGTGCACCGGGACTTGCGAACCACCGAAAAGACATGCCTGTTGAACTGCAACGTTGCAGCTGAGTTGTATAATGTTGTTCTGCCCAATGTCACTGCAAGAACACACACTTGGCAGTTAAAAAAAACGCTCAGAAAGTAATAAGGGCAATGGGACACTCAGGTAACTGCACTGAACTCAATGGAGTTATGCCAAGAATTAGCTTGAGCCAGTGCATTTAAGAGAGTTTTATAAACCAAATTCCCCTCTAATTTGTGTTACCAAACTATCATCTCCTAAGAAGTTAAATTAAAATGCATTTTATGTAGCCACATATTTCCTGGCTACAACAAGGTAGCTGAGAAAAAGCCTCTTTTCTTCTCCGTGTCTCCTGTAGCAGAAGAAGAAATTCTTATTTCACAGCAGGGATTACTTACTCAGTGAGATTAAGTGCTGTGTAATACTAGTCTCTGATATGTGGGCATATCAAACAACGCCATTCAGGGCTGGATTACCCAATAGCAGACTAAGCATGTGCTTAGGGCACCAGCAAAGCTGGGGCACCAAAAAAAAAAAAAAGAGATTTTACGGTGCAGTATTGTTTTTATTTTGAATTACATGGGTGGGGGGGCACCACACGCTTTTCAGTGCTTAGGGCCTCTAAAGGTCTTAATCTGGCCCTGACGACATTGCTGCTGTGTTGCTCCTACAGCCAACCACTCACGATGACAAAATGCCTTTATCTCTAAATACCTTAAATACGAAATTATTTATAGTAGGCTACAGAAAACGTGAATACACAGCTAAAACATAAGGGGGCGTGTATGACAGGCAAGAAAGGAAATATTAGTCATCAAAATCATTCAACAGATTAAGCACTTTAAATGTAATCATGTTAGTTTTCCAAGCTACATTTTAAAGAAAGTAAAATATTAATTTATGTTCAAAACAAAAGGTTTCACTATTATCTTTATTGTGAGGGTGGGGGACCGTTTTTGGTTGGGGGCCAACGACAAACAGAAAAATCAGTTGGGGGCCACACAAAAGTTAGAAAAAAAACTCCACCAAAATATCCAAAACCCAAACCAAAAACCAAACCCATTCCTCACTGATGTGGCCTCTAACTGAGACACCTCGCTCCAGCTCCACAGGTTCAAGGCTTCCCGTAGGCAAGATTAACTCTTCTGGAGTCCCAGGGCTAGTAAATTAGGAGTGCCCCCTCTATGATCTGGGGTAGGATAAAAAATGAGGGCTTCTCTGTAGGGATGTTACTATTAGATTAATCAACTAATCGAATAGTCGATGGAATTTCCATCAACTATTCGATTAGTCGATAAGGGGGCTTCTGCTTTTGGCTGTTGCTACATTTCAAAGGCGGAAGTGCTGTGTGGCACCCCAGCGGGGCTCTTGTGCATTTCAAAGATTGAAACGCCACGTGGAGTCCGGGGCCAGTGGGGGACTCAGAGTCCTCCCCTGGCCCCAGGCTCCACCGCTGCAGTGCCCTGCCCTCTCCCACTGAGCTGGAGCGAACTGGGTTTTAAGCCAGCTCCCCCCCAGAATCCCCTTCTCTTCCCCCCCTTGCTGCCTCTTTCTGATAGAGGCAGGAAATGGGCATGGAAACAACTAGTTGACTAGTGTGTTGACCATCCAATAAGCTTTTGCTTACTGGATAGTCGATTAGTCGACTAGCCACTTACATCCCTACTTCACTGTGCGGGAGGGGGCTGCCAGGGAGAGGGTTAGGGATGGGGGTGCAGAGTCTCTGTGGGAGGTGGGGATGCAGGAGGCGGTGAGGGGGGGTCTAGGGTGGTGGGGGTGCAAAGTCTGGGCAGGAGGGAGGGTGCAGGAGCAGGGAGGGGAAGCAGCAGCGTGTGGAACTGCTTCCTCCCCTCACAAGCCCCAGATCCGGCCTCAGGGCTCTTCCCCCCACAGCAGGAAGCCGGTGCTGGTGCTCTAACCTCTTGGGGGAGTGGAGGGGAGAGCTGTGGGGCTGGAACATCCATGCAGGGGAGGGTGCCCAGAGTCTGCGGCTCATCTGCAAGATGATCATGGCCCAGTAGTTGGGATTGGTCCTGCCTAGAGCAGGGGGCTGGACTTGATGACCTTCTGAGGTCTCGTCCAGTTCTATGATTCTATGATTGCAAATGAAGCGGGGATTTAAATATCCTGCTCTTAATTTGCATAAAAATGGCCACCGTTTTTTGCCGACTCAGCACTTTGTTGGCAAAAATGGCAGTCTAGAGGGGGATCTGTTGAGAAAGAGCCTTTTTCAACAGATTCTGTAAACCTCCTTGCAGGAGGCATAAGGATCTGTCGAAAAAGGCTTTCTTTCTCGACAGATTTCCCTCTAAACTGCCGCTTTTTGCCGACAAAGTGCTGAGTTGGCAAAAACGGTGGCCCTTTTTATGCAAATTAAGCACGGGATATTTAAATCCCCGTTTCGCTTGCAATGTCGACCTGCCTAATTTGCATCCCTCTGCCGACAGAGGGATGCAGTCTAGACATACTCTTAGAAGACATTTAGGGGTAAGTTAGAACTAAGGATCAGCACAGAACACCGGCCAGGACTGCAGGCTGCAAACAAACTTTATGGGACTGCAGGAAACTCGGCCACACCCATGATAAGTGGACATCCAGCTCACTCAAATCATGCCAGACCACAGGTGTTGCCGGACCAGAGAGTGCTGGATGAGAGGGGTTCAGCTGGTAGTAACAGACTGCAGAAAGCAGGCCCTTCATGCAGAAGAATCACTTGTTTGTTTCTGTCAAGTAAGAATTCAAGAAGGCGAGTCTATAGTTTATTTTTCACCAGACCTCTCATTACCACTTTCTAGTTATATAATTTCATGCCATTCTGCATTATATACTGTACCTTCAGCATCAGTTCCAGCTCCTCCACCTTTCTCCGCTTCCACCTTCACAAAACAAACAAACAGTGCTACAGAAAGCCATCCTATTCCGTTTCAAAAAGGGAAACAGGAAAACAAGCCTTTAGACAGAAGGGCTGCATTTTAGTATCGTTTTAGTAGCAAACTGAGGGTTCATCTCTCTAGTCCGGTGTTTCTCAACCAGAGGTACTCGAGAGAAGTCGGGGCGCACGTCAACACAACTGAAATTTGGAGAAAAATGAATTTTTGTTTTAAGTTTTACAGCTCTTTATTATTGTTGTATTTTTTACACCCAAAAATTTCATCGCCTGCCCGGATATGATTAAGTTGTTTAAACAAATGTGTTGCAATGGTAGAAAAAAAATTGTGTGCCTGAAAACTATAGATACTGGGGGTACTTATAATATTTTTTTTTTAAAAAAGGGGGTACTTTTTTAAAAAGGGGAACTTTATAAAAAGAGGGTGAGAAACACTGCTCTAGACTATGCTGACAAGTTCCCCCTGTATCTGGGGAACAAAAGACAGAGGTTGTCTGTATGATCAACATCTCAGCTGTAAGCTCCTTTCATACAATCCATTCATTTTAGAGCAAAATGTCTTCCTGAAGGTTGTGACAACTTTTTTTTTCCTTTTTGATTTTTTTAAAATACTGTATCATACGCCAGAGCCATGTTGGAAATACTACTACCATGTGATGACCATAAAGTGTATAGATCTACAGCATCCCAAACACAGCTCTGTACATAAATCTTTATCCTTTAATTATGCTGCTTTTTTTTAAGTGGGGCAGGGTGTGGAACCTGTATTGTTTTATAAAATGAAATGCTCTTTATATTCTAATTCAGTACTCTGTGTCCATCCTTCATATCTGTAGTTTTCAAAGTTTTTCATTTTCACTCCGTCTAGCTGCCATATCTTTAGCGTATGTTAATAAAGTAAATAACTGAGCCCTTTGCTTTGGTATTTCATCTGCTCACTTTCCTTTGGACCTTCTGAGTCTGACTTTCTAACTTCACTGCTGAACTGCTCTCTCTAAGGGTATGTCTACACTACAGTCTTTTTCAGAAAAATGGCCATTTTTCCAAAAAAAAACCCTTCACTTACATCCACACTGCAATCGCGTTCTTTCGAAAAAAAATTGGAAGAACTGAGGGGTTTTCCTGACATTGCTAAACCTCTTTCTACGAGGAAGAAGTCTTTTTCCAAAAGAGCTCTTTCAGAAAAAGGCATGTGTGGATGGGGAAGAGGGAGTTCTTTCACAAGAAGAGGAAAAAGGAAAAAGCACAGGTGCATTGGTGGCCATTCCACCCATAGTAGTCACAGCTTATATGCGAGATAGCATCCATTCAGTGTGGACGCTATCTGCTGATCGCTTTTTCGATGTGCTTTCGCAGTGTGGACGCTTACTTTCGGAAGAAGTTTTTTCGTAAGAGGCTCTTCCGGAAAAGCTTCTACCGAAAAAAGCCTGCAATCTAGACATAGCCTTTAGCAATTAAAATACACTCAACTTCTTGGGCTTTCTAGCTTTTCCTTTCCAAAGCAAGTTCACCAAGGCAGAGGAATGGATCGCCCATTATTACTGCTTCTTGCTGCGTGGACGTGTGTTCGTATTTCTTCTATAGTTGCAAAAGCAAACCCTAAATATGGACCCATACCGAAAAAAGCCTGCAATCTAGACATAGCCTTTAGCAATTAAAATACACTCAACTTCTTGGGCTTTCTAGCTTTTCCTTTCCAAAGCAAGTTCACCAAGGCAGAGGAATGGATCGCCCATTATTACTGCTTCTTGCTGCGTGGACGTGTGTTCGTATTTCTTCTATAGTTGCAAAAGCAAACCCTAAATATGGACCCAGA